GGTAATAATAGAAACGGCTGCAGTCCAGCTAGGTGTTACCAGACAGAAATAATAATTCGGCTGACGGCAAACGGAGCAAGCTCCTTTTTTATACAACTGCACTAGACAGCAGGTTCAAGAATTCATCACTTCGGTTAATGCTTTTAAGAGATATCTTTTTCTAAAGGTACTGATAGACACATAGACCAGAATTTACATTTATGGGCAATAAATTGATAACACTTAAAATCGTGATGTAGTTACCGCTCTTTCAAAGGTGAACTGAAAATCAAAGCACTCCAACAGCAGAAATATTTATGATGACATTTGAAAGTTCTCTTTAAGCAAATACTTATTCCGGCAAAGACAAGGAAGACTAAAGTGGCCATTTTTGGCTTGTTAGGCGTCGTCAGCCAGTCGTACTCAGACCCAAGTAGTGCACCACCCAAGCCTCGAACTCGCAACCCTTTGATCAGAGCCCAACGCCCTAACCATTCAGCCACCAGTTAGCCACGAGCTACTAGCTACTATAGTTGCTATTCCTTTCATCATCCCTGGAAGAGGAAGAAGGGGCAATTTCTGAGAAGAAGTTGTATTTTAGCTGAAGTTTCAAAAGCCTTCTCGCTTCCATCGACAGAGCGTGGTGGCTGTTCTCTTGCTGGTTTCAGTAAGTGTGTCCAACCGCTAGATTGATGCGTGATGCCCGCGTGTCAATCGACTGTACCGATCGATTTTTGGTGGCTGCTTGAATTGCTCACGCCCTCGCGGGCGCCTCCATGAGGTGTGTTAAGTCGTTTGTGTACCTCCTGAGCTCTTCCACCTTCTTCGCTCGCGGCTGCCGGCTGTCGGCCCTGCGTATCTTCCCTCCGCCCCATCTATTGCTCCGTTCTGGGCGGATGTTAGCCTTTTGCGGAGCGCTTGGAAGGCGGGATGGAGGTCTATGGCTCTGTTTATTGTTCCGGGGATGATGAAAGGAATATTATATCTGGACCTCGAATATTTGCGCATATTTACTAAAGTTGCTGTCAGGGCGCGAGAAATGAGTCTCAAGGCAAAAGTGGAGCGGGACAAGTGAGTTCCGTTAGCGTACGGTGAACATGCATCAACGAGTTCTATTAGGCACTAAACTACCTATCAAAAGGTGATTTACTTTAATTATATTTGTGTGACGTTTCTATTGGCAAACGTGAATGAAAATCCTTTTTCGTTAGTCAGATATATCGTCGGCAAAATAGAAATGGAAATAAACAGAGTATACCTGCGTTTGGAATGCATTAGGAATTCACGCGAAGATGGTCACCTTCGCCTATGCAGTTATGTGAAAATACCTGCTCCTACTCTATTGCCTTGAAACGCGAGTACAGCAACAAGCTGTTAATCACGTAGAGAGAATTCAGGCCATGGCAGGCGTGAATAGGATATCCAGTTCGCTCTCATGTTCTGTTCCTATTCGGTCACAACTCGATCCCTGGTCAGAATGAGGCGAGATTAGAGCACACGTGTCATTGGTTAGGTTGCGCGGGGGGGTGGTATTCATCCCCCCAGTTGGACAGGCATCTATCCGCCTGACTAGTTCACAGATCCACCAAGTCGTCGAGAATTTTTACGATGATTCGCATGTTTGCATACATATATATCGTACGAATATCGGAATGTAAGTGTAAAATGTATGTGAATTAGTTAAGCCATTCCCATTTCCCCGAAATAAAAAGTTTTATTAACTTGGCAGGATTGTGAATTATTGCCGATTAGACTAACGGAATGTAACTCTGTACTTTAAATTTTCAAGCATTTAAGTAAACAGTCAAGCAACACCCGAAATCGATTGCGTTATGGCTGGATGACGAAGCTGTGAATGAATATTCCAGTCTTCCCTAACTTTTTCGGGAAACATTTTCGAAAAATGTTCATAAGCAATTTTTGGTATCTACGCGCACAGTCAATTTACCCGTGATAATTTGCAGATGACTAGAGAAAACTTTCCAGACGAGCTTTAGTTTAAACGTGATTTGTAGTATTTGGACTGTATTGTGACCAGACTTTCAAGAGAAGCGATCAGAACTCAGCCATGTCTCTGAGGATATCGACACCTCCTAAGAAGACAGCGTACTGAAATAATAATGAGCCATCAAGTTTGGATTCACCCTAAAAGGCGTTGGTTCATGTTAAAAGATAAGCGGACTGTGGAGTGTTACACAAAACACAGAATAGTCACACTCCGTCATGGCCTGACTGGCACGCCCATATTGCGTTTGGATTTGTTGCATAAGAGGCGTGAAAACGGTAATGCATGCGCGGTGCAGACTGACCTACAAGCGACGCGGGAAGCATCAGAAATCCGGCCACATAGGAGCATCTGTTGCTACTTCAGAAAAACAGAAACAACCCACTGGGAGCTGCGGTGGCTACAAGGGAGTGGGCAAGCTAGGTGATGGGGGCGGTCATTAATTAACCACCCAGGAGGCAGCTACTGCCCCATACCAATGTGAATCACACCCATCCTCTGACGTCCGGTCCTCGAAAATATGCAGGCAACCGCCGTCTTTTAGAGGGAATGCGCATAGGTAGCAAGTGCATATATCCAGCATAGGCTGTGGTAACAGACGTCTGACGGAGGGAGGGGGGGGAGAGCAGCGGGAGAGGGTGTGGGCGCAGCGTCTGATTAGACATTCGCCTCCCCCCACCCCTCGGGTGAGTGGCCTACGTGCTGGCGCCTTAGACGTTGCTATCTGGAGTATTCACATACGCATACACACAGGCACACTTACGCACAAACATAAACGGGCAAGGGCTCGGTGGAGGCTTTTTAAACGCATGGCTACACCGGTATCGCTGTTGTGGGGGGTGGGGGAGGGGAAGACTAATTCCGGCAAAGGTACATAGTACCCCCTTGGACTCCGTGGTGGAGATACGCTGAAGAAGACAGGTTTTATTAAAGGTCATTTTGCTCGTGAGTTTAGAAATGAAAAAGAAGACAATCACCATTCTTTCATGTGCGCTCGTCCTGCTTCCCAGCAGCAACAGAGAAATCGAAGTAAGTAAGAGTAAGAATAAGTAAGTAAGTAAGTAAGAGTAAGTATTCCCGTGCCCTAAGACTAACCCTGACGCGAATCCTAACTATACCTCAAACACTAACTTCAGCCCTGGCCCTAGTTTGACGACTAAACCATAACGAAAATAGTAATCGAGTCAGTTGAGACGGGCCGGTTATTCTCGTGTTATTGGGCTCCATATTCGAAACTTGCTCTGGGAAGCGATGAATTGTATGGCCGTCTAACCAAGTCACGGGAATAGGGACATCCTGTTAGGACGGCCTAGCGAACAACTTTAACCTACAAGCAAAAGCCGCACTCAAAGCAGGCTATCGATCGGCCTACACGGGCGAACGAACACAAGCCGTCAATCAGTCGATAATTTAAATTTCAAGCTACACTCAGTCACTGAGTCACCAGCCAATCGTACCAGCGACTACGTCAGGAGAGAGGCTGATTGGCTCGTGGACCTATTTTAGATACGTTCTTTGCTCTAAATATGTTGTGCCTATCACACTAAAAGACTTTTGCCGTTGCAC